AACATTTCATTGTGCGACATAAATTCCGATAATATAAATAGATAGGTGAGGGCAGGCAGAGATAAAAAATAAGGGCAAGTGAGGGATAAAGGCAGGTAAATGGGATACGTAGGGGAAGGGGTCAGGGGAGGCAATCTGCATTTTAATCCCCGTTTAGTCCGAATGCATTTTTATGAAGTGACTGTTGATTAAATCCTTTGTTCCCCGGCGGGGTAAAGCGGGCCGGGTGAGGTAATGGGAATGCAAAGTGGGTTTGGCCCAAGCAAAGACAGTCGCGGGCCGGGAGGTGACCGAATGGAGTGAAAGCCATCCAGAGTGGCACTGGGGGACTCGCTGTATGGAATCGGAAGCACACGCACACTCACGGGTTTGACCTTGGCAGCCTCCCCCCCTCCTTCGCCCCCTCCAGGGTCCCACTCAACCTTGGCTAATTAGCTCACATCCCAGTGGCTTATGTTCAACACACAATTTATCCACAACAAGGACATTACAACTGCAGTGTCCCGCCTCTGCGCTGCCTCCCGCTCACTCCCTCATTCTGCTGTAGAAGGTTCATCTGTTTCTGTTTGTATGCTTATCTGAATCCTTTAGTTCAGCCTTTGTCTCCACCGGTTTTGTGTTGTCAGGACATTTCATTCAAAGCCGCTATATAAGCCTCTGATCAATATTCCTGTGTGTGTGTTTAAATTATGGATCAAACTTACTTATGAATGTGAAGGGGTTCACGTGTACAGATGCATGTACAAACGCACAAACACACGTCCAAAGCGCTGCGCAATGAAAAGATGAAGATGCGTATGTGGCAACTCAACAGCATCAGCACACAGGTGGTTCTTATTGGCAGCTGGTTGCCAAGCGGTCTGTCAGAACTCAAGCCTCCCATGCTGGGGGGCAGGGGGAGGGAGGGAGGGTGGGGGTAGCTAGAGGTTGCAGTTTGAGGGGCATCGTGCCCCAGACCGATGTCACTGTGGCTCATCACTCCTCGTATCCCTTACTGGAGAGGCTTTTTATCTTTCCTTTAGTAAAGTCTAAGTGTTGCCCACACAGACTTTTCATTTGAAAATAGGAATTATGTCAATAATACTATTTCTTTTACAAAATGCTCAATCCTTGCTATCACGATGAACAATAACACAAAACAATGGCAATCGACATGACACAATGCAACAACCTTTATCACAACTTGTTGGAACACAACGCAGCAGTGAGCTGTGATAGCTGAATGATTAGCGCCTGTCCGAAAAGCGAGCATATCTGCTGCTTTGTTTGTTGTAACGAGGGTCACCCCGTGTTTGTATACCAACCTTGAACAGTGCTACAAGTGGAGGCAAATAGAGAGTGTGTATGTTTGTGCGCCGTTCACCCACATTGGGTGAGAGGTTCACAGCTGAGGTAAACAATGAGCAAAGCTTTGTTTGTTCAAAGTGGTCGTGTGACAATGAATGAATTTAAGAATGAATGGGGACGAGACACCTTGATTACTTTAATACTGTAAATCTAATCATGGTTGTGTTCAGGCCCTGGCTGTACACGGTCAGGGAAGGATCGAGATGTGGGTCAATACCCAGCGGGCATTTGTTACGCTGACAAGACGTCTGTGGCCGACGTTGAAAATTGGTTCAAAAGTGAACGTCTCTTCGACGTCTATTTGTAGACGTTGAAGAGACGTTTATTTTTCGTTGTTACGTTATTTTTTTCTGAAAGTTTAAACAGGCGTGTGACTTTTTACACAACAGTCCAATCACAGTAGACTGCAAGTGCTCAACAAAAAGTGCATCTTTTATTGCTGTTTGTTTGTGTCTTTGTTGTTCACTTCAACATTCTGTTTTATATAATTATTTTAGGGTTCCAAAGAAAAACCTGTACATTTTGCATTGCATCTAAAGCAAATTCAATCTTCCTTCCTCTCCAACACACACGCACACACACACACACACACACACACACACACACAAACACACAAAAGCACGCACCCACACACACTTTCACGGCTGTAAGTTAGAGATATGAGTCCTTGGAAGTGCAGTATTAAATTTGTAACTATTATAGAGACAAGGACACAGCCCTTTATGAGAGCAGCCAAAGAGAGAAAATGGAGGCAGTCGCTATAGCAACCGCCAGAAGAGCACCCAACAAACCAACAAACAATGCAGCACAAGACTTTTCCAGGGGAGCCATTTAATGCAAAGCCTTGAATCATACAAAGTTGTCTTCTTAAGTTTCTGAGACCTGTCTTGGAGTGTCTGTGGATGTCTGGGTCCGTAGTCTTTGGTAAAAAAAAAAAACCTTGTGTTTTTCACCACACTTGTGTTTCAAGGTTGACTCGTCTGAATGTGCCAAAGAGCTGTCTTCTCGGGTCACGGCAACCTCAGAATTTAATTTGTGCGATCAGCCTCCAGGAAATGTTTACTCCTGCAAAATCACATAACAATGCTTACTTATTGAAAATATTGTGTGCATTTTATTAAACTATATGCATACAGACTGTTTCAAATCTACTGGTTTTGTCTTAAACTGAATTACAGCAGTTTCTTTTTCCTTTAGTCGATCAACATGAGTTAGTCATGAGAAAAACGAATGTTCAGACTAAGTTGAAGTGCAGACGACTTTATATTCCAGCAACATTGTTAATCCACTTGCCATCAGCAACACTGAAAATCTGAATTTGCCTACGAGGGTTCTTCCCTTCCCACTTTGATTCCTGCATGCGCTCTAACTTTCCCATACCCCTTGTCTGAGCAGATAGCTTCTCTGCCACTGACCTTGCTCTACATTTCAGCACTAGACACAAAACTGCAGCGTGGCTGATGCCGTCTGACTCAGACTGTCTGAGTGTCACAGCAATCGGTTACAGAAGTGCAGATCACAGAGAGACGGTCACGAGCGCGCGTGTGTGTGCGCGTGCGTGTGTGTTTGTTTAAAGGCACCTAAACTCTTTTTGGGGGATTGTGTGTGATGAAACAGTGGAAGCTGATACTATAATTGTGTCTTGCATATCTGATGGTACAGCTTGTAGAAATACGTGCAGGTTTTTGCCGTGTTGTGAAACACACATTAGGAGCTTACTCTCATCCTTGTCAAAGACAAACTGTCCACCACCACAGCGCTCACTATGAGAAGAAAAAACAGATTTGCGCTGATATGTTACAGCTGATAACGGCGTCCCTTCCCACGCTGTCATTCTGGCAGCATAGCGGCCGACCCTTCGGTCAGCACCGTTGCCGTTCTTTGAATTGTTAGAGCCGTTCGCTCTATTGGATGCATCCGGCTCAGCCGTCACAATTTTGAGAGCTCGGTTTGGTCAAAACGTCTTTCGCCTTTACCGGAGTCTCAAATATTGCGACGGCTGAACATTAATCAGATAAAAGGAATACAGAATACAAACAAGAAATTCTTACTCTCTTGCTTCTGCGTTCATGCGTTCTGCTTTTCACCCATTGAAGGGTGTTAATGGAGAACAAATGTATAATGTTATGTGTGTTTTTCCATGAAAACGGAGCGTGACATATTTTGTATCTTTGGGATCCGCACTGAATGTAACAAGCTGCACATCATGAGCTCAGGGTCGGTGTGGTTTGTTATAGGAAAGAAATATTTCAGGTACATTTGACATGCTGTGTCTGTGGAAAGACGATGGCGTGGAGAGCTACTTAAGTGCTTCTTGCACAAATGAAATAAATGAGGGAACTTTTAGACTGTGTTGTTGCAACAAGACATAATGTAATCTCTCCTTGAGGCGGAAGGATTTGTATAACCTGCGCTGGCTGGGCCTTGAGCAGGAGAGAGAGGGTGAAGGCTTTTTATCCCGTGGTGTCCTTGATATAAACATGTGAAAAATCTCTCTGTTTTTGCTCTTGGTTAAATCAATACAGACATTCGGCCTCTGAAAAAGTTTTTCATTCAGCCTCTATTCACAGTCCATGTCCTTTGACGGAAATGAACGGGGCGCGCTGAGGTCTGTGAGTTCATGAGCGTGGCCATGCCCTCAATGTTATACTTTCTCTGCAGCGAACACGACCTTCCGTGACGACCTTTGTTGGGACATTGTGTGTGTGTGTGTGTGTGTCTGTGTGGGGGGGGGGGGGGGGGTTTGCTTGGTGGCCTGAAACTCCACATAGTGTGAATCAGGAGTTCTGCTCACAATTCTCGGACTATTCTCACAGTTTTTCAGACTCCCTGACCTGTGATCCTTCGTAGGAGCAATTAAGATAAACCTCTAATTCATCTGCTTTATCCTGACCTGTCTTTCCCATTCTCTCATCCGCTTGACCTCCACTCCTCCCGTCTCCTCCCCCCCCACCACCTCCCATCCTCCTTCAGTGACAGAAGCAAGGAGAGCATTGAGTCATGACATCATAATTCACCAGCTCCTGTTTTCACGGTTAAATCAATATCAGTGTGTCCGAGTCAAGGTTGGAGGCTGGCCTTCGCTCAGTTCTCCCTACTTCTTTCTCATAGAAAATCATATAAATTGTCCCTAAAATAATTAAGCCTTCAGATCCGTCGCTGGACTATATTTTTCCCGGCTTCTGCCTGATAAACAGCTCCGCCAGGGACTCAAGGTAATTCCCAGAATAGAACTGGGCTCCGATTCCTTGTCTGACTCTGCCCCTCCTAAGGCTCATTCTTCCTCTCCCACAATTAATAACGCAACCGTTAAATCAACCGGGCCTGTTGACCGCTGCTTCATATGTTGCATTTGCACACGTCATTGTCATAGTCCAGAGGTGTGTCTTGAATGTTTAAGTTTAAAAAGGTGTGAGAGAGAGCGACACACACACACACACACACACACACACACACACACACACACACACACACACACACACACACACACACACACACACACACACACACAAAAAGACACAGAGAGGGGTGGAGAGAGAGAGAGGAAGAAGAGAGAGAGAGAGGAAGAAGAGAGAGAGAGAGAGAGAGAGGAAGAAGAGAGAGAGAGAGAGGAAGAAGAGGAGGGGGAGAAAGAGGAGGTGTCTGCGGGAGGGCGGGACACGCATGAGTATGACGGGCTCTCTCCCGCGCGGGGACAGACAGGAGCTAGTATAAACGTGCTCCGGGCTATCGGGGTGTAAGAAAACAACGCTACTTCTGTCACTGACCTGCGGCGCTTCAAAGAGAGAGAGAGAGAGAGCGCGCGCGGGTGCCAGCGAGCTCCGGCCCATGTAGAGCGGCCATGGCCGCGCTGGAGGGCTGCCGCTGCCGGGGCAACAACAGCATCCTCTACAGCATTTTGAAGAGCGACAGCCTCGCGAGCGCCGAGGAGCAACAGCATCATCAACAACAACAACAACAACAACAACATCCCCAACAAGAAACAGTGCAAAACTTGCTGCACAGGACCTCCTCCTCCTCCTCCTCCTCCTCTTCCTCCGCCGCTGACCCCGCCTCGCCGCAGGAGCTCCGGCAGCAGGCTTGCTCCTGCGGCTCCACGCGGCGCCGCGGTGTCCTCCGCTCCCCGCAGGTGACGTGCAAAGCCGCCTCGGCGGTTCTGGTGAAGACGCTGCGGTTCGTGAAAAACGTCCCGTGTTTCCGGGAGCTGCCGGAGGACGACCAGCTGACGTTGATCCGCAGCGGCTGGGCGCCTCTGCTGGTGCTGGGACTCGCGCAGGACCGGGTGGACTTTGAGACGGCGGAGACCGTGGAGCCCAGCATGCTGCAGCGCATCCTCACGGGTCTACCGGACAGGCAGGGCGAGGTGCCGGCCGGCCACAGCAGGGGGGCAGCCGGGGTCTCTGTCGCGGACATCGACGCCATCAAAGGCTTCCTGAAGAAGTGCTGGAGTGTAGATATCAGCACGAAGGAGTACGCGTATCTGAAAGGAGCCGTGCTGTTCAACCCAGGTAGGGGGACTCACCTGTGCGTCAAAGTTATTGGACAGGTGTGGCACAAAGGGGACTGTACAGGCGTAGGTTGTGTTCATAATAGGAAACTAGACCTTTTTATGTGTCTGTGACGTTGTCTGTATCCCCCGGAAACCATCCCGAACTTTTGTCATCTCTCACTCATCCCACTACCCCTCCCCGTTGACCATGTCTTGTCCGTCCCCCCCCCCCAGACGTGGAGGGTCTGCGCTGTCTCCACTACATCCAGTCCCTGCGGCGGGAGGCGCACCAGGCTCTGAACGAGCACGTCGGGCTGATCCACCGGGAGGACGCGACGCGGTTCGCCAAGCTGCTCATTGCTCTCTCCATGCTGAGGGCCATCAGCGCGCCGGTGGTCGCGCAGCTCTTCTTTCGACCCGTTATAGGCGCCGTCAGCATCGAGGAGGTGCTCCTGGAGATGTTCTACGGGAAGTAGGTCCGTTCGGATGGACTGGTGGATGAAGAGGATATTAGGGACTACTGCGTTCAGGACTTCTGTTGGAGGTCGTCAAGGACTGTGAAATGAACAACCTGTCACGCGCGCGCGCGCGCGCGTGTGTGTGTGTGTGTGTGCGTGTGTGTCTGAGACAAAGGAAGCTCGTGTGTTGAAGGCGACATATGTTATAGTAGAGGAAAATGATACAAAGCAGCTGCTGGAATTCATAACTTAATTGTTTTTATACAAACTATTTTTCTATAATAAAAAACGTTCTCTGAACTTTTTGTTTCATCTCTCTTTTCCTAATCACTGACACACCTCTTCATGGGGCAAGTGTGAAATCGGTCCTAGAACCACTTGGCAGTGGTGGAATGCCATGTTAGACCAGCAGAGTGCAACAGCACACCACACATGCGTCAGCCTCTCCATCAACCAGCACCAGCACGGAAAAGGTGGAGCAAAAAGGCTTCAGGTAATGTTCCAACAGTCATCTCCAACTCTGACCATCTGCATTTTGTGAATGCATGGCTCACTAGAAAAAAAGTATCATATCCTGCAAAGAAAAGGCGCTTAGAGACTGCACACAAAGACAAAGACGTATGGCGCCAACATACACAGCATTAGGTTCCATTAGATCTGTGGAGATTTAAGTGATGAAAACATGTGGAACAATGGAGAAAAGATTTCCTCCTGCTGCAGTATCACCAAATTATCCCATGAGTCCCTGGACACCTAATTACCGCTTCCGGCTTTCAATCTATAGTCACTGTTCAAAGGCGAGATGGTTTGTGTTGGGGAGAATTTGTTTATCTGCGTACCTGTGCTCACTCCCTGTAATTTGGCCGATTTTCACAAAATAATCGAATCATTAAACAGGACATTTATTAAACGCTTGCAAGCATGGAGCAGAGTTGACACATGCATTCAAGACGTGCATCAAGGCCACTCAAAGGATTCTTCCTTTGCCTTAAGTTTTATACTCTAAGGTGACAAACATCTGTGCCCCCCTCCTCAGGGGAGGGAAGGGCTGGATCAGCTCCCACTGGTCACCTCCACATCAAAGAGAGATATAAAGAGAGATTGCATTGTCATTCATGATTGAAGGAAATGGAAGAGAAACATTGTTTACACTTAAGCAATACACTTTAAAACATGAGGTCCTTGGGGAAATATCCTGCTTCACAAATCATCCTTAAACATCTGTTTGTCTCAGGAACCCAAAGTATCAGTTCAACAGGTCATAGAACTTCTGTCCACTTACAATGAACCTTGTTTTAATTTTCCCAACAGACATCTACAAGACAATCGAGTGACCTTCTGTTGATGGGTAAACCTTAAAATAAGGATTCTTATAACTATAATCTTATCTACTAGCGAGGGCATATGCTGTTCGGTGGTAACGACAAAGGAACAACTACATTTAAATATTAATAAGTCGAATGGATTGTCAAATATTAGTCTCAACAAGCAACTCAATGAAACAATGTTTACATGAGCAGTCAATGTTTCCAGTGTTCCTCAAAGTAGCAATGCTTCTCTGATGTTTTTATAAAAATATTCTGCGCAAAACAACCACATGAATTCAAAATGGAATGGCACTAGAAGGACAGTAGATGTGCTAAACTGAGAACATGAGGTGAACTGGATGTTCACCTGAGACTATTCTGACAACTCTCACACACCTCCCAGTGGTCTGATAAGGCAATGCAGGAAAAGACAACAACAATACACATGATCAACCAACCCCTCCACCCTGCCTGGCACCTACATTCTGACGCAGTGGACTCTGTGGGCTCTGAAAAGAGGTAAATACAAGGTCACCAGAATATTTCATTCAAAAAATTGTGCTCTAATTTAAGAAGTTAAAATGTTTTTGCTGAAGTAGGAGAACAATTACTGAAAATAGTATTTGAAATCTTGACATAATCTGACGTGGTGGGGAAAGGAAAAAGTGTGTTATATTAGCACCAGGCGATACGGGAAAATCAAATTTTGCGATATTTCCAACCAAATACCTCAATATTGACACTGCACCGAGATTGGTCGACAATTGGTGCACAGTCACAGCAATTTGTGAACATGGACAATAATGGGCTTTTTTTTTGGTGACTAAGGATTATCAAACCTCACTCTAAGCAGGGGCGACGAAACGCAACATGATAACATTAGGCAACAAAAAATAATTTGGTAGGTTTAGAAAAAAGGTTTGACTTAAAATAAGTACGTCAACTGAGGTTTAGGCAACCAATAAATGCTGGCTTCAGGTAACATAACCACTTATTTGGATTTAGGAACCTTCCTGAAACGATTCTCCCGTATGAATCCTCCACCCACGATAAGAGGTCTTTCTCACTACTATCTTACTCAGTAAAAATTGACAATTGTGACGGTTTTGTGATTATTCCACGACTAGAATTTCACCCAACGAGATTTTTGGTAAAAAACGTAATATAATGTTGAAATAATGTTTAAGTGGGTCAAGGTGAATAACATGACACACTTCGGTTAGGTTCAGAAAATGACATTACCGTGATGCAGGCTTTAGAATTATAAAAAGACAATACTTTTTCTTACTTTGCTTATTAATATAAGAATACAATATTGCCCTCAGTTAATACACCTCACAGCGCTCCTATTTCTAAACTAATCTATATTCCTATGTAGTGGACAGTTGGCACTGTTTGTACAATCTTGCTTCCGCGTGCAGGTTTCTCCTCATATTACTGTAACCAGAACGCTAATGCCCAACAGGAAATAAAAAGATATGGCTACGATGCACGCAGGCAATAATTCTATTCAAACAATAAGCATCAGTAAACCACATCAATTAATTCAGGGGTCTTCAACGTTTTTCAGGCCAAGGACCCCCAAACTGATGGCGAGATGGAGCAGGGACCCCCTATTCTACAGAGTTTCGTCCGCCATCTTTTATTGTTGAGCTTTGCGCTTTTACGTGAGCATGAAGGTGATCTGATTGGCTAGTGCCTCTGCTGTCGTATCAGCATGAAAGGTGCTGTGAATGAACCAGTGCCCAGTTTGAGAGCTGCTGTGGGAAGCTGGATGTGTGTTTTGCGGACAGAAAGATAATAATGTCTACATTAATTTATCCGTTCACTACAATATGTTGGATTTATGTTAATGTGTAACAATAAAGAAGACAATAAATACAATTCTAATTCTGAAGACATTTAAATTTGTGGAAAAAAAATTGTCTTATCAACCAAAAAAGACCCCCTGTTGAAGACCTCTGAATTAAATAGTAAACAAAAAAAACATCACCAATGCAACACATGATTAAACTGCACTGCGACTGCAAGAGAGACGTTTCTACACACATTGCAGTTCTCCGCTGGATTGTGTCACCCATCAATGGTTTGTTGGATTGTGTCACCCATCAATGGTGTGTTGGTTTGGGTCACCAATCAATGGTGTGTTGATTGTGTCACCCATCAATGGTTTGTTGGATAGTGTCACCCATCAATGGTTTGTTGGATTGTGTCACCCATCAATGGTGTGTTGATTGTGTCACCCATCAATGGGGTGTTGATTGTGTCACTCATCAATGGTGTGTTGGTTTGGGTCACCAATCAATGGTGTGTTGATTGTGTCACCCATCAATGGTTTGTTGGATAGTGTCACCCATCAATGGTTTGTTGGATTGTGTCACCCATCAATGGTGTGTTGATTGTGTCACCCATCAATGGGGTGTTGATTGTGTCACTCATCAATGGTGTGTTGGTTTGGGTCACCCATCAATGGTTTGTTGGATTGTGTCACCCATCAATAGTTTGTTGGAGTGTGTCACCCAGCAATGGTTTGTTGGATTGTGTCACCAATCAATGGTTTGTTGGAGTGTGTCACCCAGCAATGGTTTGTTGGATTGTGTCACCAATCAATGGTTTGTTGGATTGTGTCACCCATCAATGGTTTGTTGGAGTGTGTCACGCAGTAATGGTTTGTTGGATTGTGTCACGCAGTAATGGTTTGTTGGATTGTGTCACCCATCAATAGTTTGTTGGATTGTGTCACCCATCAATAGTTTGTTGGATTGTGTCACCCAGCAATGTTTTGTTGGATTGTGTCACCCATCAATGGTTTGTTGGAGTGTGTCACGCAGTAATGGTTTGTTGGATTGTGTCACGCAGTAATGGTTTGTTGGATTGTGTCACCCATGGGACTGGGACAGCCCTTTGCTGTTACTACAACGACATCGCAACATGTTCTGTAAAATTGTGGTGATGTATTTCATCCTGTTTAGTCCCCGATTTGAACGTGTTCTTGGCTTGCCCCAACGAGATGAGAAGTTATTGATAAATAATCTATTTACTTGATTTTGTAAAAACAGCTTCAATTGTTCATGAATAAACCAGTTCTGTAGCATAGCCTCTACTTGGACTATTGACTTCTATCACTTAGGGTGTTCCCTAGTTGTTCCATTAAACCAGTTATTAATTAAGGTGAAAGCTTTGTCATCCGTTATACAGAATTATGAATTTGCTTATTATACTGCAACGTTTTGCTGTTCATTACCTGGACCGCCGATGCTCCGCTCTGCTCTCCTGCAGATCCGCCAGCAGCTTCTCCTTTGCCCCAGGACATGATTTGACTCAATTATTTTTATTCCAAGGCCTACAATGCTTAAAAGTCAAAGGACTGATTTACTAATACACAACTAAAATCTACTACCAGGAGTAAATCTTCCCCCCATGCTTATTTCGATCTCTAGACTTTCCATCTTGTCATGGCCTATTTTCTCTCCAATTAAGTCCTCAATTGCTCAAGGTGATAAAGAGTCTATTAACCCTGTCTGCTGATCAAGCTCCAGCTCTCTAGGACGAGGCTGCCAACAACAGTCACCGTCTCTTTTTGTGGTTGACAACCCGTTGTGTGTGCTTGATTTTGTGTGCATGTCTCCAACTGTTGGTTTCTATTCACAGGTCCACTTGTGTTTTCATTGAGAGTTATAGCTTAGCTATAGCTTTAGCTATAACTTTGTGTTTGCATAGGCTGAAACCATCTGAGCTTTACAACTCGGTTTGTGCTCCCTGCCACCAACAAAATGTCCAGATCTTTGACGGTGTCTTTCACTCACTTTCTCCCTTTTACTCTGTCCCTGTCTTTTCTTCCCTCTGCCTCAGTTTCTCCCCTGGGGTTGACAGAGAATCAGTAAATCTGCTTTCCGTTTCTGTGTTTACCAGCATTTTATCACAAACACGCCTTGTAAATAATGCAAATTCCCAGGAGATGGCACTGTTTGGCAGCGCTGCACCTCCATTGTG